GTAATGGTAATGGTAATGTTTATGGTAATGGTAATACTAATGGTAATGATAATTGTAATGATAATGGTAATGGTAATTGTTATGATAACGGTAATGATAATGTTATGGTAATGGGAATGGTCATGGTAATGACAATGGTAATGGCAACGGTAATGGCAATGGTAATGTTTATGGTAATGATAATGGTAATGTTTATGGTAATGGTAATGGTTATGGCAATGGTAATGGTAATAATTATGGTAATGGTTATGGTAATGGTAATGCCCACCTGAAGAAGAGCACGGTGTCATGGGTGCGGCATACCACAAACCGCGCCATGGCATCGTCCGCCTTGAGCTTGCCGCCTGACTTGCCCGCTGTGCCTCTCTTCTGTGCCGAGAACGTGTCTGCTGCCATGCGTTTCACGTACCCCCGCTCACTCAAGTTCTTGAATGTGGGTGGGTAAAGGAGGGAAGATTGTGGGAGAAGAATGTGGTTCTCTGACTGACTGACTTTTAATTGCCTTGCCCTCCGTGCCCCTCTTTTGCGCAAAGAACTTGTCTACTGCCATGCGCTTCACGTACCCCCGCTCACTCAAGTTCTGGGGGAGAAAGGGGGGTGTATGGGAGCGGGGAGTAGGGGCGGCGTAAGTGATTCTCTCTGACTGACTGACTGACATAGCCCCGCTCACTCAAGTTCTGAGGGGTTGAAGGGGAATGGGTAGTGAAGAGGGCCACAGAGACAACTGACTTGGCATGTGGCTCACTGAATGACTGACTCGCTTGCTCACTTTGCTGCTTCTCTGACTGACGTCCAACAGATCCAAGTCCCCTGCAGTGCCATCCGCCTCTATACGTCTTGTGCCATTGTAACGAGGTGACTTTTGAGTCGACTCAAAAGACTTCTCTGACTGACGCCGGACGGATCCAATCCAAGTCCCCTGCAGTGCCATCCGCCTCTATCCTCGTCCGTTTCGCCAGCACACAACACAAGCAGCGAATACCAACATAGAGAGTCCAGCAAATAGGCAAACACCACTATACCAGCAGCACATACCAGCAGCACGGTGTCATTGGGGATAACATCAGAAGGATCCAAGTCCCCTGCAGTGCCATCCGCCTCGATTCTCGTCCTCCTCGGCCCGCCAAACTCGTCCTTGAGCGCCTGAGCCTCTCTCTTGATCGTTTGTAGAATTCTCTTCCTGCTGGCAAGCAGACCTTGCAGGTCTGCTATGTCCGCCTTTAAGCGGGCATGCTCCTCCTCCAGCTTCGACACCTGGGGTGTGGAGTTGGTTGCAGGAAAAGGAAGTGGAAGGAGTGCGGGTGAGGGAGGTCTTGCAAGTCTGCTAAGTCTGCCTTCTGACGGGTGTGCTCCTCCTCCAGTTTAGACACCTGAAGGGGTTGGGTGGTACAGGCACGGATGGGAAGGGAAGAGGGGGTGGAAGGGAGGAGAGGAGGGGATGAAAGGGATGAACGAGGACATAGAGTGAGGAAGTGTAGGCGAGTATGGAAACTGTTGTACATGGATGCATGCAACTGACTGTGACACTGTTGAAGGAGGAAATGGTGTGTGTTGCAACAACTTACTTCAAGGGACGTGAGGCGCCGGAGTGGTGTACCCAGAAGAGCATCAGCCTGTATGGGGGATAGGCCGAGGGCTGGGATGCGTTCGTGCATACACACACGTACACACACACACACACACACAAACACACAAACACACACACACACACAAACACACACACACACACACACACACACACACACACACACACACACACACACACACACAAAAGCATATCCTTGGTGAATGCATCACATAGGAACATGCAGGGTGGGTGAATTGATGCCACTGTGCCACTGGTAATCAAATAAGGGGAATGACTGCCCTATGCACGATGCTGCAGTTAACGTTTAGTCACCAGTTAATTAAGTCACACCACACTTCAGCATCCCTGCTTGCCGTATGCAGCACTAGCTTTATAAAAATGCACTGCCAGGCGTGCTTACAAGCCCACAACATTGACTCAGTTCCAGCCGAATGCTACACGCTGCTGCTGCTTCCTTCCTTTACGAAGGGGGACAAGGGGTGGGGCGTGGGCTCCAAGAGGCTCACCGTGCTGGAGGGTAGCAGCAGCATCAGCGGGAGTGGCAGCCGCTTTGAGGATATCCACCATTCGATCCAGGCTTCCTAGACCAATCAGCAGACCCTGGGAGGTAGAAGAGAAGGAAAACGAGGATAGGTTTTGAGGTTCCTTCAAGGGATGGGAGCGGATGGCAAGGAGTGGCAGCCGCTTTGAGGATATCCACCATTCGATCCAGGCTTCCCAGACCAATCAGCAGACCCTGGGAGGTACAGAAGCAGAGGTGGGGAGGGGAAGCGAGGGGAAGGGAGGTAGGGGAGGGGATGTGAGGTCAAGGTACGGAGTGGCAGCAGCCTTGAGCGTGACCATCATTCGATCCAGGCTTGCACGGCCAATCAGCAGGCCTTGGATGGTGCACGAGGAGAGGAGGAGAGGGGAGGGGATGTGGGGAAGGAAGGGGAGGGGGTGTGGGGGAAAGAGGGAGGGAGGAGGATGTAAGAAAAAAGGGGAAAACAGGGAATTCATGGAGTGAAAAATGGACTGGACGCAGACCGTACCTCTGGGTTTGGACAGACATCGAACTGCACGTACCTGCACGTAGTGCTCCCGGTCCTCGGCTTTCCGAAGCTGGAATTTGGTTCGGCGCTCGATGACCTGGCAGCGAAAGTCCAGAAAAACCTGAATGTGTGGGGGGCCAGGAGAGGGGAACAGTTGAAAACAAAAATAGTTGACTCAAAATGCAGGGGCAGTCCAGACCAGACCAGAAAGAACTGATTGAGTGTGGGGTGGGAACGGGCAGAGGCGGGAGGGTGGGGGTTCGGGGGGTTGGGGGGGCGATGGAGTGAGCGAGGGAAGGGAACGAGATGCAGGGAGGCAAAGGGAGGGAGAGGAACGGGGTACAGGGGAGAGAGTTAAGAAATTTAAGGGTCCCTTGATGCAACAGTATTGACAAAAGCTGTAAAAATCTGAAGTCAGTCAGTCTCACCTGGAAGAAGTCTCTGAGAGTCATCTCCTTGGGCTCTCCATTGACCAGGCTGAGTGGAAGTAGGGAAGGGGAGACAGGAAGGGTGTGAGAGGAAAGGGATTGTGCGGGAGGAATGGGATGGTGCGGGAGGAATGGGATGGTGCGGGAGGAATGGGATGGTGCGGGAGGAATGGGATGGTGCGGGAGGAATGGGATGGTGCCGGAGGAATGGGATGGTGCGGGAGGAATGGGATGGTGCGGGAGGAATGGGATGGTGCGGGAGGAAGGAAGGGATAGGAAGAAGACTACCAGAGTCATCTCCTTGGGCTCGCCACTGACCAGGCTGAGGGTAAGAGTGGGAGGGAAAAGAGGATGGGTGTGAGAGGAAAGGGATGGTGCGGGAGGAATAAGAGGTGAGAGCAAAGGACTGGAGGAAGGAAGTCTCTGAAAGTCATCTCCTTGGGATCTCCGTTGACCAGGCTGAGGGGAAGAGCGGGATGGGGTGATGGGAGGGAAACGGGGATTACAATAGGAGAAATGGGAGGAACGGGAGAGGGGAAAGGGTTTGGAAATAGTCTCCCAGTGCCGTAACAACCACAACTAATACCCCACCCATGTATACGAGAACCTGTCGCTCACCCCACCAGGTCGCAATTGAAGCCTGATTGTACAGCGATGCCAGCACAGCCATGGGCGTGGCAAGGCAATGACACACTTTGTCTCCCCCACCAGCTCACCCCACCACTCACTCACCCCACCACTCACTCACCCCACCAGGTTGCAGCTGAAGAGGGACTGCAGCTGCGTGTGCTTGTACAGCGCCAGCACAGCCATGGGGGTGGCAATGACACACTCCTTGTCACCCTTACCACCTCACTTCACTACCACGCTACTACCACTCACCCCAACGCCACTCACTCACCCGACGAGGTTGCAGTTGAAGCGCGACTGCAGCTGCGTGTGCTTATACAGCGATGCCAGCACAGCCATGGGGGTGGCGCCGCGCTTCACCTCCACCACCACGCGCATGCCCCCGCGGTCGCTCCCTTTCCCTCCCGTCGACGCTCACCCATGACTGCCCCAGTGCTTGTGTCCACTGCCATACCCCGTACTGAAGAGATGTGACAGCCAGCCACACCCACACACAAGAAACGGATCCTTTAACTCACCCCACCAGGTTGCAGTTGAAGCGCGACTGCAGCTGAGTGTGTTTGTACAGGGAAGCCAGCACAGCCATGGGCGTCGCCCCTCGCTTCACCTCCACCACCACGCGCATGCCCTCGCGGTCGCTCTCGTCGCGGATGTCACTCACCCCCTCCACCACCTTGCTGTTCACCAACTCTGCCATCTTCTCCACCAGGGCGGCCTTGTTTGTCTGGTATGGCAACTGTTTGAATAGGGGATGGGGGTGGGATGAGGGGAGGAGAAGGTATCAACACAAGCTGACCCCCCCAGTCGCTCTCATCTCGGATGTCACTCACCCCCTCCACCACCTTGCTGTTTGGGAAGGGGGGGGGAGAGAGATGCTCACAATTCAACAAGCACATATACAGTCCCACTTCTGTGACCTCTGCCACAACCACTCACGCACCTCTGTGACGACAATCCCCAGCAGGTTGCCTCTGTGACGACAATCCCCAGCAGGTTGCCTCTGTGACGACAATCCCCAGCAGGTTGCCTCTGCTCCCTGCTCCCCTCCTCCCAGCTCCTCCACATACGCCCTCCTCTGCGCCACTATCACCCTTCCCACCACAAAAAGCCTAAGAGTCGACACAAAACTCAGCGACCACCCACAATCACGCACCTCTGTGATGACAATGCCAATCCGATTGCCTCAGCTCCCTGCTCCCCTCCTCCCAGCTCCTCCACATACGCCCTCCTCTGCGCCACTATCGACCCCCTTCCCATGCAATACACCGTAGAGTCGACACAAGACTCAGCAATCAACTATCAGCACGCACCTCTGTGATGACAATGCCAATCCGGTTGCCTCTGCTCCCTGCTCCTCCTCCGCCCAGCTCCTCCACATACGCCCTCCCCCGCACCACTATCGATCCTCTTCCTGTGCGGTATGCCTCCTCCATGCTGCTCCGGGGGGAAAAGGGAGGGAAGCGGGAAATCAATACAGAGGTGCCCAGTTCCTCCACATACGCCCTCCCGCGCACCACTATGGATGGACCCCCTCCCCGTGTGGTATGCCTCCTCCATGCTGCCCAGGAAGGAAAACAAAGAAGGGAACTCCATTTCGGAGGCGCCTCAACGAAAAAAGCCAAGCTTTTGAGTCGACTCAAAAGTCACCTCGTTTTGAGTCAACTCAAGGAAAGGGAACTCCATTTCAGAGGCGCCTCAACGAAACAAGCCCAGCTCAATCGAGCATCACTATCAATCCCATTCCCTTGCGACTTTTGAGACGTCTCAAAACTCGATGGAGCATCACCAGCAATCCCAATCCCCTTCCCTTGCGGTATGCCTCCTCCATGATGCTCGGAGGAGTGGAGAGAAGAAGGGGAATGAAACACGTACCCCAACGTGCCCAGAATGACCCCTCCAGTGGGGAAATCTAGTTTTGAGGCGCCTCAAAACTAGATGTGCCCAGAATGACCCCTCCAGTGGGGAAGTCCTGGCCCTGACAGAAGAGCTCTTCTGTGGTGATGGCGGGGTTGCCAGCCTTCCGTGTAGGAAGATTGGTTTTGAGAAGTCTCAAAACCAATCTTCTCCAGTGGGGAAGTCCGGGCCCCCTGACAGAAGAGCTCTTCTGTGGTGATGGGGGGGTTGCCAGCCTTCCACCCACATGCCCTCCTCAATCTCAATCACAACTCCACAAGCAATACAGTTCTCACACATGCGTACCCTGATGTGCCCAGAATGACCCCCCCCAGTGGGGAAGTCCGGGCCTTGACAGATGAGCATGAGCTCGTCGGTGGTGATGGCAGGGTTGGAGCATGGCAACAGCTAACACACCTACTGCGCCACTGGGCAACTCCGAGTCATGTCCCACCCCTCCCTCTCCGAGTCATGTCCCACCCCTCCCTCTCCGAGTCATGTCCCACCCCTCCCTCTCCGAGTCATGTCCCACCCCTCCCTCTCCGAGTCATGTCCCACCCCTCCCTCTCCGAGTCATGTCCCACCCCTCCCTCTCCGAGTCATGTCCCACCCCTCCCTCTCCGAGTCATGTCCCACCCCTCCCTCTCCGAGTCATGTCCCACCCCTCCCTCTCCGAGTCATGTCCCACCCCTCCCTCTCCGAGTCATGTCCCACCCCTCCCTCTCCGAGTCATGTCCCACCCCTCCCTCTCCGAGTCATGTCCCACCCCTCCCTCTCCGAGTCATGTCCCACCCCTCCCTCTCCGAGTCATGTCCCACCCCTCCCTCTCCGAGTCATGTCCCACCCCTCCCTCTCCGAGTCATGTCCCACCCCTCCCTCTCCGAGTCATGTCCCACCCCTCCCTCTCCGAGTCATGTCCCACCCCTCCCTCTCCGAGTCATGTCCCACCCCTCCCTCTCCGAGTCATGTCCCACCCCTCCCTCTCCGAGTCATGTCCCACCCCTCCCTCTCCGAGTCATGTCCCACCCCTCCCTCTCCGAGTCATGTCCCACCCCTCCCTCTCCGAGTCATGTCCCACCCCTCCCTCTCCGAGTCATGTCCCACCCCTCCCTCTCCGAGTCATGTCCCACCCCTCCCTCTCCGAGTCATGTCCCACCCCTCCCTCTCCGAGTCATGTCCCACCCCTCCCTCTCCGAGTCATGTCCCACCCCTCCCTCTCCGAGTCATGTCCCACCCCTCCCTCTCCGAGTCATGTCCCACCCCTCCCTCTCCGAGTCATGTCCCGCCCCTCCCTCTCCGAGTCATGTCCCACCCCTCCCTCTCCGAGTCATGTCCCACCCCTCCCTCTCCGAGTCATGTCCCACCCCTCCCTCTCCGAGTCATGTCCCACCCCTCCCTCTCCTGCATACGTACCCTGACGTGCCCAGAATGACTCCCCCAGTGGGGAAGTCCGGGCCTTGACAGATCTGCATGAGCTCGTCGGTGGTGATGGCGGGGTTGTCTATGAACGCTGAGAGCGCGTCGACGAGCTCGGACAGGTTGTGAGGTGGGATGTTGGTGGCCATGCCCACCTGCATGGTGTTCATGGGAATACAGAGTGGTACAGGCGGGTGGAAGAGGGAGCAAGGTGGTAGAGGGGGATGTGGGGAGGGCCAAGCAAGGTTGTGGATGAAGGCTGAGAGCGCATCCACGAGCTCGGTCCGGTTGTGGGCGGGATGTTGGTCGCCATGCCCACCTGGTGGGGTATTGGGGAGTGCAGGGTGATGCACAGGGATTAAGAAGGGTGCAAACGGGTGCAGGGTGGTACAGGAGTGGATGGGAAGGGCCAAACAGGGTTGTGGATGAATGCTGAGAGTGCATCCACGAGCTCGGTCAGATTGTGAGGTGGGATGTTGGTGGCCAGGCCCACCTGAAAGAAATACGGGTGTGAGGGAGTGAGGAAAGGGGTACAGGGTGTGAGGGAGTGAGAAGGGGTTTAGGAAGGTACTGGAGGGGACGAGAGGGGTGCGGAAAGGTACAGAAGTCGTCTCAAACGATTTCTTTTCTTGTGGCAACAGAAAAGGCAGACCAGCAGCGTACGTACCGCAACCCCTTGAGAGCCGTTGAGCAGAAGCACAGGGATGCGAGCGTGTGTTTCCTCAGTTGCCTCAGAAATCACACGAGTGCGGAAAGCAGCACTAGACGTACCGCGATCCCTTGAGAGCCGTTGAGCAGAAGCACGGGGATTCGCGCGGGAAGCACTGTTGGCTCATTGGTTGATGCATCGAAGTTGGGCGCAAAGTTAACCTGAGCGGCAGGGCGAGGAGCGGGGGGCGTGGAGATGGGAGAGAGAGGGGTGAAGAGAGATTGCCAATACATGCCCAGGTGAACCACAAGGTCATAAGCATATCTAACCCGAGAAAAGGTCGCCCCCTAAACCACAACTAATGTGTCGTCAGTCAAGTTGAGTCATAACAAACCCGATATACCAGCAACTGATATTGCCTGCAAGTGATAATGGACTTTAACCCCAGAGCCCCCATCATGCCTAGCCCCGACCCAGCTCACTGTGTCGCTGCGAATGTCTTCAAGAAGCATCTTCTCCGTGAGGGGCTGCAAAGGAGGAGGGGAAGGAAAGAGGGGAAGAGAGAAAAGGGGGAAAAAGAATAGGCGAAGGGAGAGGAGTTTGAGTAATGTGAGAATGAGTACGGGACTGGGAGCGGGAGCGTAAGTGAGCGTGGAAAAGATTGGACAAGCTAAGTTGGTAGGACTAGAGGTGTGGTCTTGGCCTTAAACAATCTCGAATTACCTGCAGGCGGCACTCAGTGTAGCGCATGGCAGCAGCAGGGTCAGCATCGACAGACCCAAAGTTGCCGTGCCCGTGCACGAGAGGAGCGCGGAGAGAGAAGTCCTGCGCCATGCGCACGAGGGCATCGTACACTGCCGTGTCGCCGTGAGGGTGGAATCGACCCAGCACCTGTGGGATGATTGTGAACAGGAGGAAGGGATGCAAGAGCGGCTCAGCGCGGAGAGAGAAGTCCTGCGCCATGCGCACTAGGGCGCCGTAGACTGCTGTGTCACTGTGTGGGTGGAAGCGGCCTAGCACCTGTTGATTACAGAAACGGAATGGATGGGACAAGACACATGGCAGGGCTCAGCGGAACACAATGGGAAAGTCCTGCTGTGTCGCCATGTGGATGGAATCGGACTAGCACCTGTGGGATGCACATTACTCAAAGGAGATGGGAGGGGCAAGATAGCACAGGCTAAGCGCGGAGAGAGAAGTCCTGTGCTATGCGCACTAGAGCGTCATACACCACAGTGTCACCGTGTGGGTGGAAGCGGCCTAGCACCTGTGGGATGTGATGGGAGTGGGCGCAAGGGGGATGAGAGACAGAGCAAGAGAGACAGCGTCACGTTGCAGAGAGAATCCATGCGTGCATCAGGGCGTCATAGACAGCTGCATTGCCATGTGGGTGGAAACTGCCCCTGCACTGGTGAGATGTGATCGTTTGGCTGGGAAATAGGGCTGGTTCAGTGGCCAGGGCAGAGATGCTTAACGAGACAGGTCAAACTGAGAAATCGGGAGAACGACTGATAAGCAGACCAACGAACCAGCATAAAATGGAAAAATAAAACCAGCAGACACAGTGGGAGCAGCAAGAGCAGAGCAGCAGCGGCAGGAGCAGAAGAAGTAACTGCAGGAGGAGGAGGCTGTTAGGCAGGCAGAAAGGCCGACAGACGCACCTCTCCCACAACTCTGGCTGATTTGCGGAAAGGCTTGGATGACGCCAGGCCCAACTCGTGCATGGCATAGCTGGGGGAGGGGAGGCAGATGCAGTTGGGGGGGAAGGAGGGGGGGGTTTCAGGTGGACAGGGACGGTAGGACGAAGAGCATCAGATGACGACAGGATGACTCCAGAGTGACATCAAGATGACGCCAGGCCCAGCTTGTGGATAGCGTAGCCACTGGGAAAGCAGGAAAACATCACTCACAGAATGCGGCAGACACTGGCATGCTGCCTAACAAAGGCAGCTACAGGATGCGGCAGTGCACTGGCTTGAGAATCCATCTCTAGCATTGGAAAGAGCGCGGCCGACAATGACAGACATGGCACACGACACATACGACTGCACCGCCCATTGCCCTCTGATCTCTCACTGGCAGTGCACTGGCTTGAGAATCCATCTCTAGCATTGGAAAGAGCGCGGTCGACAATGACAGACATGGCACACGACACATACGACTGCACCGCCCATTGCCCTCTGATCTCTCACTGGCTCTATAAACACACTCACACACACACTCACAGGATGCGCCGATGCACGGGTTTGAGTCCATCCCTGGCGTCAGGCAGGGCGCGGCCGACAATGACGGACATGGCATACGACACATACGACTGCACCGCCTCCTCATGCAGCTCCACCTCCTCCACCTTGCCCGCTGCCCCTGCCACCACCACCGCCCCATTGCCGCTCCCTGCCCCTCTCCCACTCGCTCCCTCACTCCCACTCTCGTTCCCGCTCTCACTCCCGCTCTCGATCCCACTTTCAAGCCCACTCTCAAGACCACTCTCAAGACCACTCTCAAGACCACTCTCAATCCCACTCCCTCCCCCACTCTCACTCTCCACCTCCTCCTCTCCCTCTCCTCCCTCCAAACCCCCCACCTCCTTCCCCTTTCCAGCACCGCTCACAACCGCTTTCCTCGCCCCCTGCCGCTGTTCCCCACCCCCCTGCGCCTCCTCCCCCATCCCCTGCGTTCCCCTCACCGCCTGCACCTGAACCTGCCTCTGCCCCTGCCCCTGCTGCTGCCCGTGCCCCTGCTGCTGCCCCTGCCCCTGCCCATCCCTCTCTGCATCCAAGTCTTTGGGAGGGCGGGAACTGCTGGAGAAGGAGAAGGACGTCAGCTTGCGGGTCAGCAAGGGTTTATCACAGCCAGCTGCAGCGACGAGAAGCCGGTTGCCTGTCGAGCCGAGTGCTGCGGCTGGTGGGGAAATAAACCCACCGCTGCTTCCTCTCCTGCTAAACCCCGTGTGTTGAAGCCTGGTGGTCGTAAACCCTAACCCCTGAAACCTCGTCAGTGACTGGTGGTGTTCGTTGCAGCTATTCGAGTGGAAGTTGCTGCGAAGCTTCTCTAGCAACGACAGCGATGAAGAATATGCAGCCGACTGAGTGCTGCTGCTAAATTGGCATCCTAAACCACCACCGCTGCTGCCAATGCCTCTGTTGATGCCTCTGTTGATGCCTCTGCCAATCCCTCTGCTACTGCTCATGCCTTTCATGCTAGCACAGGAGGTGGTAGGCAGGGAGCTGAGCCCCCTACACGCCAATGGCTCCATCCCAGCGCTCAGCAAATGCAAGCCTTGGGGATGTCGGAGAAGACTGTAGCAGCTGATGCTGCGGATTGGGCTGATGGACGGTGAGATCTGGGCTTGAATCGGGATCAACGGTCGAGATAGAGTGGAGAGAGGGGACGGCCTGAGGGCTGATTGGAGGAGGTGGGAGGAACGGATCCTGAGGTGGGCGATTGTTGCGCTTGGAGATTCTGCCACGTGGGCGATCCACGGCCTCGTCAGCTGTTTTGCCTGGAAAGAACGGGGGGGAAAGGGGGAAGGGAGGGGAGTGGCGGGGGGAAAGAAAGGAGGGAGACAACAGGGCCTGAGTGGCGGAGTGGGGGGAAGCATGGGAGAATGGAGGAGGGGATTGGATGGGGGGGAACAGGCGGGCAAAGGGGGATGGGAGGGGAGGGGAAGGGGAAGGTGAAGGGGAAGGGGGGATTGCGAAACGTCAGAGTGATCTCGCGTGGATGAAGCAGCGCTCTGCGTTGTCCGCTTGGAACGCAAATACTGCGAACAGAAGATACGTTGCAGGTGGGCAGCAGAGCGTGTGAATGTGGACAGGGTGAGTGATTGTGAGTGTGCGGATATTAAGTGTGACGGCGAGTATGGGGAGTGAGGCAGTGCGTGAGCGAAGTGCGGAAATGCAAGAGAGAGAGCGCGCAGCGACCGAGACATTGCAATCGGGAAAAGAAGCTGTATGGGTGAAAAGGTCATCGATCGCAGGGGAATTGTGGCGATGACGACCTTCGAGGTTCTCAGAGAATGCGAAGATGATCAGATTCGCGCGCGACTAGCAATAGGAAAAGGCGGGCGGAGGAAGGGCGAGAGCGCGTACTGATTGCATGCTACTGTCGGCGCCGAGATGGGTGCTTGGAAATCCTCTACCACGCGACGTGAAAGGCACACCCTAAAGCCCACCACGCGCGGCGCTGCTCAGCATTCCGATTGTCCCGCTGCTTGTTGCAAGGATTGATAGCTCTCTTCCCATCCAAGCCCGAGCTACTTGAACTGCAGACGAGGGGTCCTTGGGAATCCGAGCAAGCGGCACCAAATTCGTGCTGGTGGTACAGAGTTTGGTTTGATGGTACAGTGACAGTATTTGAACACGTACATTTCGACTGACCGCTCCTTCGAAATATTCCAAGGACAACTTTTTTCACTTCCCCTCTCCCTGATCAGATTGCGCAACCCTCCATCCAATCCAAACCAGCTTCCTTGTCTCACCTAGAGGCGAATCCTCTGAGCCTTTTTTCCGAGCTGACCTCTAGAATAACTGGTCACACACCCACCACCTTCGCGCTCCCGCCCGCATTTCACGGACGCTTTGACGCCATGGCCTCTCTCCTCGGATCGGCTACCAGCCAATGCCGCGTCCCCGTGCAGCACGCGCTGACACGTCAGCCAGCAACTCCCAATGCCGCTGGTCGAGCAGCCTTTTCGAGAAGGTCATTGGCGATAAGGTCGTCCGTTGACGATTCTGTCAACGGCAGACGTTCTGACCCTTCGTCGCAAGAGCATTCTCCCGCAGCAGCAGCAGCAGCGGAAACGGCGGGTGTGAGTCGTCGGTCAGTTCTCCTCGCTCCAGCTGCTTCCGCCGCTGCGGCTGTGGCGCTGAGCCTAGGGATTGCCGCGACTGCCGCCCCTGAAAGCGCGCAAGCCTTCGGCCTGGGTGCGTGCTTTGTAGGAGCGATGGAGCTCGGACCCTTTATTGACCCTTCGCATTTTTCATTCTCCATCCTCTCCACCTTTTCCGCCCTCTCAGCCTTTCCGTTCTTTACGCCCTTTCCGCCCTTTCCGCCTTCTACCCCCTTCCGCCCACTCCGCCCTTCCGCCGTATCCGCCCTATCCGCCCTTCCCCCACGCTTTGACCGCTGCACCGACGGAGTACTGCAGCTTGAAGAAGCGCAAGGCCATTGGGTGCCTCAAACACCTCCTGGTTACTTTCTTCTGGTTTCCCCCTCTCCCCACTTCCGCACCCCTTCATTCCCTGATTCACCTCACACTTCTCCCTGCCTCCCCCAATCCTTCCCCACCCCACCAGCGGGTCCCAAGGAGTGGCTCAAGGCGCAGAAGCGCAAGTCGATGCAGTTTCTCCTCAACCCCCTCATGGTCTCGTCCGCGCGCCTTGCAGCTGCCAAGGCTGAGTTCGGTGAGTACCTAGCTCGCTGTGTGACTTGGTGCGTGTGAAGTCCATTAAGGGGTGCGTGAGTTGGTGGATTCTGTGAGTCGGGTCAAATCTCAACCCTCTCGTGCTCTCCTCTGCGCGCGTTGTTTCTGCCAAGGCTGAGTTTGCCTCTTCCTCCTCTCTCCGTTCCCTCTCTCTCCACTCCCCGTTCTCACTCCAGTGCCACGTCTGACCTGGCGTCAGTGCAGACAGGAGTGCGGGAAGAGAGGCACAGGCCAACGCAAGTGATTTTTGAGAATTCTCAGAAATCACTCGCAAGGAAGAGAGACACAGGCCAACGCAAGTGATTTTTGAGAATTCTCAGAAATCACTCGCAAGGAAGAGAGGCACAGGCCAACGCACCCTATTCTCTCTCTCGCCCCCCGCTTTCCCCGTTCCGCTCCCATTCCCCCATCTCCACGGACTCATTACAGAGGCCTTCACCACCCCCTCTGAGCTGGCATCGGTGCAGGCAAGAGTGCGGGAACCCTCCCTTGACTGCCTCTCTTCCACCATCCATCACACCCTCTTGTTTCTCCTCTCCTCTCTCTCCCCTCCCTCCTCCTGCCCTACCCTCCATTCACTCACTGCAGAGGGCTCCACCACCCCCTCTGAGCTGGCATCGGTGCAGGCAAGATTGCAGGAACCCTCCCTTGACAGCCTCTCTTCCGCCATCCATCACACCGTCTTCTTTCCTCCCTCTCTCCGTCCTATCCACTCTTTCATTGCAGAGGCCTCCACTACCCCATCTGAGCTGGCGTCAGTGCAGGCAGGAGTGCGGGAAGCCTCCCTTGACTGCCTCGCCCCTGGCTTTACTCCTGGCGTGGAGGTGAGGGTGTAGCAGTGAGAGGCGCAGAGGTGAGGGGCGCACAGGTGAGGGGCATAGGGGTGAGGGTCGTTCAGTTGAGGGTGTAAAGTCAAGGGGCGTAAAGTTGAGGGGCGTATAGGTGAGGGGCGTATCAGTGAAGGCCGTAGAGGTGAGGGGTGTGAGCAGTGAGGGGCGTGGAGGTGAGAGGCGTCGAGCTGAGGTTTGTAGTAGTGAGGGGCGTAGGGGTGAAGGGCGTGGGGGTGACGAAGCAGTTAGGGGTGTAGGGGTGAGGGTTGTAGCAGTGAGGGGTATATAGAGAATTGTAGAGGTAAGGGGCGTAGCAGTGCAGGGGGTAGAGGTAAGAAAGTATAGAGGTTGGGAGGATACACGAAGTGTGGCAATTTTTGGAATGTACAAGGCACAAGGGATTGTGGATGCCTTCTTATGGGATGGAGGAAGCCTTCTCATGAGCATCTCTCATGAGACAATGGTAAGCAATAATGCTCAACCCACACCATGCCACCAATACCATGCAAGGATAGCCTCTGAACTCGTCAGCGTTGGGTGTTATAGCCTTCAAATCCTCTTTGCGTCCACCGCCCCACCCTGTCTTCCGTCCTCAGTGCACGTTCAAGCTCATCCTCAAGAACGCCGTCACTCGGCTGAACTAGTTGTGTTTCGCATCACATTCAACGTTTCTGCGTCTAAACCCCCCCACCCCACCATCCTTCTTCCAGCTGTGCACGTTCAAGCTCATTCTCAAGAACGCTGCCTCTCTGCTGGATAAGTAGTGAGGCGCATCAAATCAGACGTCTTTGCATCAATCTGCCCCTCTGCCCCTTCGCCGCCATCCGTCTTCCAGCTCTGCACCTTCAAGCTCATCCTAAAAAACACTGCCTCTCTGCTGGATAAAAACGACCCGGCGCTCGTGCTGGGGAAGGAGGTGCTGCTAGACCTCATGACTGTTGGATGCCATAAGCTTCCCACCCGCTCTGCGTCCATTCCCCCCACCCGCCATCTATCCCACAGCTCTGCACCTTCAAGCTTATCCTCAAGAATGCTGCCTCTCTTCTGGATAAGAACGACCCGGCGCTCGTGCTGGGTGAGGAGGCGCTTCTCGACCTCATCTGGTGGGTGGCAGGGGGGCGAGAAGTGTGGGGTAGGGGGGGGGGAGTAGGATGTAGATGGATGAGCTTTCTTGAAACGTTTCAAAGGACGACCTGGCGCTCGTGCTAGGGGAGGGGGCTCTGCTGGACCTCATCTGGTGGGCAAGAGGGGGGGAGAAGTGTGGGGTAGGGGGGAGGGAGCGAGGTGTAAATGGATGAGGGTTGGGGCGGCTTATAGGAACTCTGTATGACCTCACTTCCGAAACCTGTCAAATCCTGCGGCTAGTTCCACGCTTTTTTTTTTTTTTTTAATAAACCTCCCACTGAACTTCTTCCATTTCCTCCTCCTCTTTTTGTTTCCTTTTGGTGGCTAACGTCTTTCTTAACCCGTCAACATGACCAGGTCGTTCAGACAGCTGCATGGGTTGCTGGACGAGGCTCAGGGCTCCGACCCCCCTCCCCGGTGAGTTTCCGTGTCTCCGCTGCTTCATAGCCATGTCCCTCTAGCCTTTTACAATAAGTTATCATCATGTGCATATTCGCCTTGTAGCGGTGACTGGCAGTAGGAACAAGCCATTCCCACATGGTACTTGCAATTTTCCAACCATCCTTGTCGTACCGTACCAGTAGGGGGTCTGCTGAGTCGTGTCTACCGGCAGCCATGTCACCTTCACTGACCTCCTCGACCAGAATCAGACAAGACCTTGGCTTGTTCAAGCACGGAATCTTGTGAGACCCGCTGTCCCTGGCCTTAACACCTGCATTTTGTTTGGCAGGGAGTACATAACGGATGCCTTCAGCAATGTGCAAACTGCGTCAAAGTTTTTCCAATCAACCATCGAGACCATCTTTGACACCCCTGTTTGATTCTAGCCCTTGGACTTCAGGGCCTTTGCCCGTCCCGTTGCTGGACAACAATTTTGGCATGACCTGGAGATTCCCTCCTGCTTTTGACTGTTCAGCAGCTGTCTTTCATACAGTTTTTTGTTTTGGCTAGCTTTTCCGTGCAGAGGTGCTGTTGAATTGTTTAATCCAATGCTTGTGTGTATAGATCCTTGTGACAGCACAGAACTTCCCTGCAAACGAATGTTGGAGTCAGTAAGATTGATCAATGCTGAATCTCAACAGCAATGCAAACTGTACAGTGTCTGATTCTCAAGGGCGTGTGCCCAATCCAAGAATAAACTGGAACTTCTTGGACCCGCCACTCTCCACCTCCTTGTCAATCTTGAATGGCCGCAGCACCTTCACTTCTTGTAGACCTGCTGCCTTCATATCCCTTTCCAGCTCCCCCACATCCAGCCCGTGCTTCTCCACCTCAGCATGGATGTTGGAGGGGTGAAATTCGGCTGCATGAGGTTCTGCTTCGAAGTCTGAAATGGCGACAACCCCCGCGTGCTGCTTCAGGCAGCTCATCACGGCAAGAAGAGTTTCAGGAATACCTGGTGAACAAGGAAGCCGAGCCAGCATGAGGAGAAAGTTGGTGTGGACAAATGTTTCATCAACGAGCAGACATCGTGAAATGTCTTTACTCCAAGAATCGAAAACCGTAATCAATTTTGTCAATGGAAGACCTGGAGTTAACCATGTGGTTAAAGCGAGCAACTGACTCAGGGAGTGGTGGAGCGTGAGACGAGAGAAGGCAACATCGAATTCCTCTGCTGGTAGACGACTTTTGAGACGTCTCAAATGTGTTGGCTAATAGAATGTGGCTGAAACGAGCAACTCACTTGGGACATGGTGGAAGGTGAGATGGGAGAAGGCAACATCAAATCCCTCTGCTGGTAGCAGGTCCCCTAGCTGCTGTTGAGGGGTCTTGTCCGAGGTAAGCATGATCTGAACGGACTTCATTTTGTCGGTCAGACCGAGCTTCTCCGCCTTGGCATTAAACACATTCACCATGCCTGGACAATGAAAGCGGAATCCGGAAATTAATGCCTTTCAAAGTCACGTCCATTTGAACATCGCAATGAGCGTGAATTCCATCCTTCACGGGAGCTCTGAGCTGAAAGTAATGCGGATTTCTGGCGTTCTGAAGCGGAGATATCAGGCCCGCAACAAGCTACTTCTGTAAACGCATTCACACATCGGTGACGCGTCTACAATGTCCAACTTCCTTATACCTCGGCTCAACGTATCACGCGAATGAAAGAGAAATCATTGGTTTCAGAAACAAAAGACCAAGTCTTACCGATGGACGTGTCTACACCGACAACTTTGACGCCTTTCGCCGCGAGCATCTCGGAGCAAAGCCCAGTACCGCTGCCAACTTCCAGAACGGTCGTGCCTTCCTTTACGGGAACATTGGCTAGAAGGTGCTCCACGGCCTTAGCGGCCATTTCGCGATGCAATGGTTTGTCGTCCCAGTGGCCGGACTGCTCATCGAAAAAGGTGTTTCCATGACCAGCCATGACGTCTCTGTCCGGAGATCCTTGCTTCGCTCCGTTGGTTTGCGCGGACTTCAGTGCGAGAAGTAATATAGGTTGCAGTGCACGCTGCAAGCGTAGCTCTCGGGAGAAGATATGGTCAAGGGACAGGTAACTACTATAACTTGGTAGCTACGAAAAGCTTGAATTTGCTTTCTGTTCATCATGTTGGAGTTTCCCGCGAAAGTTTGGATCAGAAACAGTGACCCGCGTCTCACGCTTGAAGTTCCTGTGTCTGGCTTTTCATTGCATTGCGATGGTGTCATACGATATCATGTACTTCAACTCACAGTCGCGGACAATCGAAGCTGCTTATGAGCGGTGCATCCTTAAATCATGGAGATCCCACAGAATGAAAATGGAACTTGAGATCATTGCACCCCTGTTGAAAGAAGAAATGTGCGGAGCTCCACCGTTCCTGGTTAGGGGGCTGCTGTGAGGCTCTCAGAAAAGGCAGGATGCGGCTCGCACCTGGCACTATTTTGAATTCGGAAGTCCACGTGTTCAGAATCGACTCGTAAAACTATTCAATATAGCGTGGCTCGCGTTACTGTCACGTATGAACTCCAGTCAGCCGGACACCTCCTCCCACTAGATTCTTATAGCCTCCCCATATCCGACTCATCCCAGGGCCAAGCCAGGTCATTCCTGGGCTCTTGCGTGGCCGTCATTTGGGACCAGTAAGTAGTCAATCTCCCATCTTCTTGGAGAATTTCCAGCAGGATCAATCGCCAACCGTTTCCTTGATGTGTTTGATCACTGGGCTCAGGAGGAGTCAGGCCCAGACGCGGACGAAGTCCATCCCCACAACATGACAGCTCGTACGACCATCGATCTCCCTAGCTCCGCCTGTATTGACCGTCGATCTGTTTCCTCCCACGGTCGCCGCTTTCCTGACTGTGAGGAGGCCAAATCTACAAGACACGGACTGGGACATGCATTTCTGCATTCAGGGAATTCAAGGTTCAGCATTCTCATCATTTTGAATCTCTCAACCTCGGAGACCCATATCCCAGGAGCTCCCTTCGTATAAACCTCCTCCGTCGAGGTTATTCGAGCTACTTTAGTGAAATCCGTAAGGCCAAACTCCCCGTTTGCCTTGTCTGCATCTTCCAAATCTCTCACAATGGCCACCGCCATGAGTGCCACGATCAGCCGTGGAGTTACCAGCCAGCTCAGCCATGGCATCTCCAGCTCTCAGAAGAAGGCCGATGCCTCCAAGCTCATGGTTGCCGGCTTCGAGGGTCTCCGATCCGGCCGGGCAATGCCAGGCAATGTCGCGGCTCAGACCCCTTCCCTGGCTTCAACCGTCGCTAAGGCGGTGTCAGCCGGCAAGGAGGAGGCTGGATCCGCCAAGGGAATGGTCAAGTGCGAGGTGGAGCCTGGAATGAAGCTCGTCTTCGTGTCGGCTGAGGTCGCTCCCTGGAGCAAGACTGGCGGTCTTGGCGACGTGTTGGGTGGTCTGCCTCCTGCTCTTGCGGTAAGTAGATCACTTGCACGCAAAATCATTCATTTCATCTCTAATCTTCGCATATTGCTCGATGTCATATTGCCTTCGTGCTCTGTTGCTACTGTTTCTGATTACATAACTGACCGGTGCTCGTGTTCCTTGTTTTTCCTGGCAGGCCCGCGGTCACCGTGTGATGACTGTTTCCCCTCGCTACGACCAGTACAAGGATGCCTGGGACACTGACGTCACCCTTGACGTAAGCTCGAGTCTCTATCCTTCCTTTCGCACAGTAGAAACTCGCTTGCCACGAGACTCCTCTCTACCAACCTCCACTGATGCCTTCCACCTCCTCGACCTTCACTCATTCGAACCACGACTTTTCCGCCATTAACTCCGCCTTTCACGCCTTCGCCATATCTCCTTCCGTCCTGCAGGTGAAGGTTGGCAACCGCGTGGAGACGGTCCGCTTCTTCCACTGCTACAAGCGCGGCGTGGACCGCGTATTCATCGACCACCCGCTCTTCCTCGCCAAGGTCTACGGCAAGACCGGCAGTAAGGTCTACGGCCCCGTCGCCGGAACCGACTATCAAGACAACCAGCTCCGCTTCAGCCTCTTCTGCCAGGCCGCTATTGAGGCCCCGCGGATCCTGAACCTGAACAACAGCGAGTACTACTCGGGGCCCTATGGCGAGGATGTGGTGTTCGTAGCCAACGACTGGCACAGCGCGCTCGTGCCGTGCTACCTGCGGGCGTTCTACAAGCCGTACAACCAGTTCTCCAGCGCGAAGGTGGCCTTCTGCACGCACAACATCGCGTACCAGGGGCGCTTCCCCATCGACGACTTCAACCTGCTCAACCTCCCCGAGGGCTTCCGCGACTCGTTCGCCTTCTACGACGAGTCCGACAAGCCCGTGAAGGGCCCCAAGATCAACTGGCTCAAGGCTGGTTTTCAGGAGGCGGATCTGGTGCTCACTGTGAGCCCGAACTACGCTGCGGAGTTGAAGTCCGGGCCGGCCAAGGGTGTTGAGCTGGACGATGTCATCCGGGAGGTGGGGTGCCGCGGGATTGTGAACGGGATGGACACCACGGAGTGGGACTCGAGCGAGGACAAGTACCTCGACACGCCCTATGACATCTCCAACGTGAGTGCTCTCGAGAGGACCTGGTTTCAGATCTTGCCCCAAGGAATAAAATACTGGGAATTTAACGGGTGGAAACATGAATCTTGGACGGGGTCACACTTTCTGATCTCGTCTGCGCGTCTACCTCCAGCGGATTCATCGCGAAGTGCTAAGAATTCCCCAACTCTTAGGGTGAATCTGTTTCGCGCGTGAATCTCACCGTCCTCCTCCTCCACCCCCCATCAGGTCCTGGAGGTCAAGCCGCTCCTCAAGGAGTCCCTCCAAGCCGAGGTGGGTCTGCCCGTGCGCCCAGACGTGCCGCTCTTCGCCTTCATCGGGCGCCTGGAGGAGCAGAAGGGCTCCGACATCCTCTCCGCCGCCCTCCCGGAAATTCTCAAGGAGGACGTGCAGGTGATCGTGCTGGGCACGGGCAAGAAGTACTTGGAGAAGCAGCTCGAGCAGCTCGAGGTGAAATACCCGGACAAGGCGCGCGGCGTCGTCAAGTTCAACGTGCCGCTCGCGCATCTCATGACTGCTGGCGCGGATTTCATGCTCGTGCCGTCGCGCTTCGAGCCCTGCGGGCTGATTCAGCTGCACGCCATGCGTTACGGCACCGTGAGTCATCCTTTAGCGTACATGACCCTCCCCCCCATTTTCCTTCGAAGTTGTTCGCCCTAGCGCCAAGCATAGCGAAGTAGTGACATAACGCGGAAACCAATGCTGAGCCAATGCCGGTACATCCTCTCCTCGCCCATCTCTCCGTCCGCTTGGTTTAGTACCTCCAAACTTACCCAACTTACCCTCTCCCTCTTACGTCTGCCTTTTCGCCCCGCCTACCGTCCGTTGTTGCGTCCCACCAGGTGCCAGTGGTGGCCTCCACGGGCGGTCTTGTTGACACAGTCAAGGATGGCGTGACAGGGTTCCAAATTGGCGAGTTCAACGTCGACGTGAGTACTAACGCCCAAATTGGATGAACCTGCGTGTTGCGCTAATGTTACGTTTCGGCTCGTTCGTGGCCCGCTTTTTCTTCCAGAAAGGAGATTGTCTGCCGCCACCCGGCTCGCCTCTGCCCCTCCTGCCCACTCGATTGGTCCACCTCGCCTCCCAGCTTCCGATTCCCTTCCTCCCTGCTCATTTCGCCAACCTGTTCAGTCACCCTCGCCCTCACACCCAACCAAGCTCCAGTCCTGAATACTGCACACTTCTCAGCCTCGTCTTCCCTCTCTCTCCCTCTGGTCCCTCCCACCACCACTCAGTGCGAGGAGGTGTTCCCAGAGGACATGGCGTCACTGACGGCGGGAGTGAAGAGGGCAGCCAAGGTGTACGGCACACCAGCCTTCGACCAAATGATCCTCAACGGCATGGCTCAGGACCTCTCCTGGAAGGTAAGCTTTTTACTTCCGGAGTTTCTGCCTGTTTCCTCCCCAATCCTCAAACCATGCAACATGCATGATGTGCTCATAGTAGCGATTAATACAATGTAAAAATTGTCTTCTCTGTTGCTGTGTTAACTCTCCAGGGCCCCGCCAAGGAATGGGAAGCGACCCTATTGGAGCTGCAGGTCAGCGGATCATCAGCAGGGACTGCTGATGGGGAGGAGATTGCACCCAAGGCCAAGGCCAACATTGCTGCTCCTTGACTTCGCCAATTCGAATTGCTGTTGTGGGCATCTCAAAGCAGGAACACCACAGCAAGATATTGTACTTCTATTCCTTAGTAGTTTGTGATTTGGCATATTCCTTGTCCAAACATACAGTACGTAGACAAGTCTATTCCCCTCACCATTAATGGAGGGTTGATATCCTGATATTTCAACTGCAAATTTCTTTTCATGCATAGTGGTAATACATCGCCTAAAACGAACTGTGCAGTGCAACCACACTGATACTCCCCTCATGACAAAAACGCTCTTTGTAAGTTGAAGTTTCCACCTACGTTTTATCCTACTGTTAACCCTAGTACAAATGAGCTTACAACAGCCTTCGCAAGCCAAACATTCCCCATTTTTTTCCTACTGGCAACCCTAGTAAAAATGAGCCAATAACAGTGCCCTGTCATACATGTGGCAATGCACTACAAATGGGTCTTCTAGGACACCAACGCAATGCTTGATAGTTACTGCATGGGATACTGTACATGCTCATAGGACTAGTACTAAGATACACAACAATTGAGAGACTGCGCTTTCCGTAGCTCAGCTCTCCATGCATGCAAATGCACCCTCATCATGCCTGCTACACCGACAGACGACCCTTTGCTGAAGGACCTCCAGTTTGAGTCTTTTGTTGGCTTCTTGGAGGCCTGTAATAAAATCAGCTGCATGGTTGAGCATGGACGTGACGTCCCCGTGCCCACCTGCTACAAATCTGAGCCGGTTCATGGCTTCACTGTAAGAAAGAAATTGGGGACGAGGGATGTGGTGGAGGTCAGGAAAGGAGACTGAGATATTGGTACAACAACAAAGTACATATTAAAAGGAACAAGCCATCATGAACGGGGAACACGGCGATACATATGCAAGTTTGAGGAGAGGACTGACCTGATCTTCTCTCTCCGTTGTTTCTCCTTCATGCTCTTGGGCGTGATCTGCCGATTGGTTGTCCGCTTTTGCTGCTGTTGTCGTTGCCGCTGGAGTTTCTGTTGCTGCTGCCATTGTAGAAGTTGATCCATTTCCTGCTCTTTCTCCAGCAGCTGATAATGTGACTGAAGCACCTCGAAAGCGAGATTGCTCGTATCGAATCCAACCGCTGCGTTGCCTTCCAACTTCACTGTCCCTGCCTCCGCAGGTGCTGACGCGGCAGATCCCTGATTGGCTGCGCCAGATCGTGGATGGCTCTTCAGCGCCAGCTCAACCAAATCCAGATCGAGAACGGAGTTGGGATTCGCAGCAGTGGCTGCTGTTGCATTAGACGGAAACCCGAAGTGTTGTGATTTTTCCAAGGATTCTGTCTCCATAGCCGATATCATATCCAGCAAGCTTTGCTGCTTAGGCGGCGCCGTAATCTCCGGCGGCTGAGAGGTGTGAAGCGCCCCGGAATACGACAGGTCAGCAGCTCCGGCCGTCTGACCGAAAGAACCGCCATGGTTCAGCTTCGAAACGCCGCGTGCGTTCGTCCTCTTCGAGCTCGCTCCTACCGAAAACGTTGCATTAATTTCCTCCGCCGAGATTTGAACGGCGGCGTACGTTGTGCCACGGTGTGAGGCGTCACCTTCCGCCGCCGCGCCCCTATGCACGCTGAGATCCGGACAGCTGCTAGAATTGCGAGTAGTGGCAGCCGATTCGTCGCCCCAAGACAAGCCGCCGTCAGCGGCCGTCTCTTGCGCTCCCGGCGACAAACTAGGAGACCCCGAGCCGACGTTTGGCGCGTGTCGGCGCTCGCAAGGCGAAGTGTTGGATCGACCAATATGAGGCCTTGCCGCGGCCGCCGCGGCATTACTTGATCGAGAGATGAATGTAGACCGAGCGACGGAGCGCCGCGCCATTAGCAGCTGCGCCATGGGCCGCCGCGGCGGTATCGTGGCGGCGCTCGAGTCGGGAACAATTCGTTCGGGCGAAAATGAAGCGCCTTGAGGAATGTCGGGGACCGCATGATCCGGGCCTCGAAGCCGCTTCAGCGTAGGAGTCTTGCTCAATGCGGCCAATTCCGCTGGCTTGGAATTGAGCTCGTCATCACTTCCTCCGAGGCTGGAACACGTCGACCCGCGCGGCTGCAGCTCGGTCGGAGCCGGAGCTTTGGCGGAGGTTGCTGCGGATGGTTTTCTGGAGGTGGCGTGGCGACATTTCAGAAGAATATCGCGAAGAAGTGTCGCGTCGTCCTCGCTGCGACGCCACGACGACCGATGCGACACAGCGACCGCACCGGCGATGTCGTTCGTGTTGTCACACACGGCTGGCGAGAACGCCGCCCCGTCCTTCTGAGTACATCTGGAAATTGGAGGCGGAGTGTGAGGCTGGCGTGGAGAAGAAGCCACGCGGAGCGGAGAGCTCGGCTGTTGCGCGACCATAGCAATGCAGGGAGGCATTTTCTCGAGCTGATTGCGCTCCACTGCCGGGGCGCACGCGCCGGAGCTGGTCGGCAGCATCGTTTCTCCCGCAGAAGCCACCGCGGAAGGGCGCGGATCAGCGGGGCGTTCGCTGATTTGGTCGCCGTTTGAAAGAATTTCCGCGATGTTTGGCACGCACGCCGCTGCAGCACTTGCGCTCGCGACGAACTCGCCAGCGACGAGCGTGGGAAGGTCGAAAAAGGACTCCCCATGGGTTGACGGCGCTTCTGGTGGCACCCCCATTGACGGTGGAATCGTGGCGCCACCAGGAACATACTTTTGACAATTTTGGTGGGTCTCTCCCGCGAATGCGGATGGCGATGGCCACATTTGTGCAGGATTTGCCATTTCGGCGTCGAGGGAGGCTGTGAGTGCGAAGTCGCCCTGATGACGAGCAGAATAAGTGCTTTGAAACGAACGCTCGTTGGTGAGCAAGTGGTCTAATAGAATGTCCATTGCAAGAGTAGGCCTGAAAAATGTACTGAGCCTCTGTCGTAAAGGTGATGAGATGAGACTGTTTAGATAGGGAAGTGAGTAGCCAAGGCATGGAAGTGTGTCGAGATGATATGAAGATGAGGAGGGAGGAGGATTTGTACAGTAGCTGGCAGCAGATGCGGCTAGGTGGTGGAAAGGAACAAGGCTGGCCGCAAAATGGGGGATATTTGTGAAGGAAAATGCCCAACGAAATTCATCTGTTGCGAAATTTGCTTGACGAGGTCAGTGCATGGATGTGCCATAGCGCACTGTGTTTTACTGGCGAAAGCAAATGAGGGTATGTACTCTGCTGTAACACGCACTTGACTGTTCGCCACTTCGCAGACATCGCTGGCACGTTCCTTCCCTCCCCCCACCGACCCCACAGCACAATGGAATGGTGCCCGTGAAGGGATGACGAGACGACGAAGTGGGGGGCTTTCTTCACCACCATCAATTGATATGGAAGCATTATCAAGCGGACGAATAGGAAAAAAGGTTCAGAGAAAGGCTGGGTACACGGAACACACCAAACTCTCATCGCAGTCACTCAACGAATATAGGTTCGTCACACCTGCCTGCCACCTTGCAAAACTGGGATTAACAGCCCTTGCACTTCATGTGACAATAAGTGTTTCAATCTGCACGATGGACTTTCTGCAGGACACGTGTGTCATGGTGGACAAATGTTGCTTTACAAAGTATCCACAGATTCTGAGAGTACACTAATAGCATAACCATATTGCGGTAAAAGTGTATTGTACGTAACAGAGAGATTTTCACCGCAAATCAGATCGTTTACAGCTTACGATTCTGGGAAAGCACACCTAGGGAGCACATCCGAGCTGGATGGTACACTCGGCAGCGTTGCTGCAAACTTGCCCTTTGCCCACTGGCGACATTAACATGGCTGGCAGAAATCAAGCAAATGAGACCCACCACCGTCCCACAACTGTCAAAAAAAAAAAAAAAAAAACCCAGATGCATGAAATTATGCTGTCAGAATTTAGACGTCCAGACTGGGAGGCGGTATAGTACATAACATTGATTTTGCCCGAAACTGCCATCACAACAGAAAAGAAATACAGGGTGTAACAGCAATAAGCGTGAACGAGGGTGGTGAAGGGAAGGTGTGGGGCGCTCTGGGGTTTGTGGGCTGCAAGGGCTACCGTAAAACCGCTCGGCTGATAGGTGTTCGTTCGAAATACGCTGCTTCCACAAAGCGAGGTGGCGCACGGGTGCACTCTACCAAAGCCACAAACGACAAAACGTATATATACGGTACAGTAGCACCAGCAAAGGAACAAGCACAAGAAGCAGTACAGTTCTGCCCGGGTGTGGGCTGCAAAGAGCTGCAAATATCCGACATAAAGAGCAGTCCGAAGTGAAGCGTCGAATGGATGTCGATGGATGTCGGTAAATGTCAACCCTCGGATCGAGAGTTCCAACCGTCAGGATTTTCCGACATCGGATGTCGACGGATGTCGACTTCACTTCGGACCGCCCTAAATCGACGTCGAGGTTGTTGGCACGGTTGGTGAGCTGAGGGGTCCCATTTTTGTGTTCAAAGTACGCTTCAGAAATTGCTTACGCCAGCATCAACACTTGCACGGAATTCAGCGCATCTGTGCAGTGATGACGAGACCACATCAGACAGAACAACAACAAAACAAGAATTGAGTTCTCGAAATTAACGAAGCTGTACGATTCGTACTGCGGGCTTCGTAGCCATTAGTGGCACTGTCTACGCATGCGAAAACAGCCTTGCGATTTCCAAAATTCGTTTGAGTTCAATTGTTTTACTATTTAGGCCGGCATGTGTTCTGAGTGGAAGTTCGTCGCCGGCATTGTGTTCAATGTGCCAAGTTCGACGTAGATCGACGTCGAGCTCGACGTCGTTCGTCTGACGTCAGAGAATATTGAAAATCACTTCGAGCACGCTCCAGCTCCCGAGTCCCGACCCGACTCCTGCTGCCCAGCAATACGATTCATGTTGGCTCCCGTTTGGAGGGGATGCCCTGCCCAGATGTCGACAAGGCCGTCCACGGGGCCGAGCACTGATCCTTGCTAGCAAAACAGAGCCACCCAGTGATCTCAATTCAACTCTCCAGAGAAACTTCC